TTTTTCGTGTTAAAATATGCAATAGTAACGCCACGCCGGTTACAAACTAGGCCACATTATTCGTATTAATCCTTATCTATACAAATAAATAAAATTGAAGTGTCTGTTTGTAATATTAAAATAACAGCTTTTTACGAAACGCATATGAAAGTATATAGGGTACTAATAACAAAAAAACAATGTTTAAAATTTTCGCCTATTTGTCTGTCTGTTTGTTTCGGCTAATCTCCGAAACGGCTGGCCCGATTTTGACGGGACTTTCACTGGCAGATACCTGATGTTATAAGGAGTAAGCTATATTTTAGAAAAAGAATTAGGGTTCCGCGCAAAAAATTAAAACCTATGACATTGTAGTAAATTCCACGCGGTCGAAGTCACGAGGAGGATAGCTATTCCTGTATAAATTTGTCTCTTTTAACCTACATTTGCAATAGTTCCCTAAATCTCTTTACTACAACAGCAGGGTTAGCGAAAAACTGCAAGAATTTCAAAAACTTTACAAAATTTGGATAGTTGTCTTTAACTTCATTTGAGATTGTTTTATGCCAAGATTCCAATGAATTTGTAGTCTCGTAAGGCACTCCTTTTATTCAGCAGAGTTGACCTTTCAAATAAAATGTATGTATATACCTAGTCAGGTCATAAATTCTCTCACAAGTTTAATATAAAATAATTGAAACAAGTTTATTCATTATGTAACCATTTATATAGCAAAATGAACTTAACAAAACATAGATTCTTATGACACTAAAGTTTATTCAAAATGACCTCCGTGATTTTGAATACAGGCATTCAATCTGCGCGGCCAGTCGTCTATCGCAGCACGAACGAGGTCCCTGTCAATATCGGCGGCTGCCTTAATCAAGGATGTCTTGAGTGACTTGGGATGAGGCTTTGAGCACGCCTTTTCCTCCAAGTATTAGTGTTCGCGCAAAACACTTTCAAGGATTGACGCGAGAGGGCGCTCGGCGCGGTGCATTCATACCGGTTTGACTTTCGGTCGTGCGAAAAACGCCCAAGGGCAGTCAGTCGTCCTTAGGCAGTGCTCACGGTTGGCACGCTGCCAATTAAGCGCAGGAACTCGGAATAATTAAGCGCGGACAGTAAAAATACGGTCTAGGAATTTTGTGGCGCGTATCCCTACTGGAGAGCTTCCCCGGGACTTATTGGGTCCGACTCAGAATCTGTATAAGTGCATTCGACAATATAAGCTAGTGCGGCCTCGGTATTCTAGAACTAACTGTTGCAACGCGAAACGGTAGTGACCTTTGATCCCGAAACTCCGTGCGTGTTTTGTGCGGTAACCTAATACCCCGCGATAGTTAGTGGCTCCTGTAAGCTAGTTAATCGTACGATAGAGTTAAGTGACTGTCATCGTGACGAGAGAAGAAAGTGACTGTGGTCCGGCGCCGAAGCAGTCTGAAGCAGTGTGGCAGCATTTTGAAGCAGCCTGGAACTCGGCAGCAGCTGGTCGCCTATGCTTGACAAGGCCCCACACATTCACCCCTCACTGTACACTACTCTCCATCCACTATTACACACACTCACGGCCTGCCCAAGCCTTGGTGCGAAGTTAGCTTCGGATAATGGTAAGTACTATGTCCTTCTAACGTCCTCCCATCTGGTTTATTGTAATTAGGAATTTCCACGTGGCCACATTGAGGCCCGACCTACGTTTGCTCGGGAAGTCTTCTGCTCATGGGCCCCAGAGGATTGGATCCTTTAAGGGAGCAGCCGTAGGCCGTAACAAACTGGTAGCAGAGCGTGGTTCCGGGTTCGATTCCCGGTCGATCCCGACCATAGTGTTTGATAAACATTAAACAATTCTGGTGGCAGGGAGCGTTGGTTTGATTGGTTTAATTTGTATCTACAATCACGCCCGTCCGTAATACGTAAAAATATTTTTTTGTACGTAATAATAGAATTATTTCCCTTTGTTGTTTGTTGCATGCCTTTTTTTTTTTTTGGTTAGTAGGTAGTTTGAAAAGCCGCGCCCTAGGTTGCGCAAGCGGGAGTTTTTCTAGAGATATACGTCATGTAGGTAGATGGTTATTTTTACGTAATCGGTTAATTATCGTTGTCGGATAGTTGTAGTGGATTACTTATCGAAGGTTCGATTTCCGAGCTAGGCATTTTTTTGTTGATCGACTGTGATGTGTATCTTCGTTTATACTCTAATTTGTATTGGAACTAAAGAGTAGTAATTGTATTTGCGCAATTTGAATTTAACTTGATTTGATCGCACTAGTATTTGTTATTTGTCAATTTGATTTGTGTCTTTTCTTTTGTGCTAACTTGTATTTGGTTGATACGTAGTAATTCGTATTTGTGTAATTTCTATTCAACGCGATTTGATAGGAACTGCATTTATTAACTGTTAATTTTTATTTTTTTTGTTTGTTATCTTTGTAATTTGTGCTCGAGCCGCGTCGTAATTTGTATTTAATAGTGATGTTATCGCCCAAGCTACTGATCCGTTGTCTGCGGACTGAGTTGCGCTGGGCCACAAGCGCCCATGCTTTGACAGAGCGACCGGATAGGGTCCATAACTTGATGAAGCGGTTCGAGCAGGTGGATGCTCGAAGGGCCGCATTGGAGGAGGCTTACGCTGAGCTCGAGGATTCGGATGTGGAGAAGGGAGTCCTGGACTCCTGCTTCGCGGACTATGAGCAGTTCTTGTGGCTCACGGACGAGTTGATCGAGGCTGAAGACAGGTATGCCGAGGAGGCGCGTGAAGCTCGGATGAGTGACCTGTCCGAGTGCTCTCTGAAGCAGCTTCAGCCGGAGCTGTTGGGACGACTCCCAACTCTGGACCTGCCAAAGTTCTCCGGGGTCCTTTCCGAATGGCTGACATTCGTTGGTCTTTTCGACAGCCTAGTGGACGCCCGGAGTGACTTGACCCCGAGCCAAAAGATGGTGTACCTCCTGGCTTCACTGGAGGGGGAGGCCCTGGGCGTCGTCGGCCACTTGAGATTGTCGGACGACGCCTACCAGACTGCTCGGGACCTCCTAGCTAGAAGATACGCCAACGTCCGGCGAATTGCGGACGAACATGTTAAGCAGCTTCTAAGCCTCCCGCTGCTTAGTGACCGGGCCAGACTACGTCCGGACCTGTTGGATCCAGTCTTGGTGGCCTGTAATGCGTTGAGACGGCTGGATTTACCAGTGGGCGAATGGGCTTTTTTGTTGCTCCGCATCGTGCTGTCCCGTCTACCTCTCGACCTTCGAATCCATTTTGAGGAGAGGTACGGCGGGGACAAGGCCTCTTATATTCCGCCCTTCTATGACCTGCTGCGGTTTTTGGAGGAGCAGTGCCGGCATATAGAGAGCGCGGCGGGCATCGTTGACGACTTACGAGCCGTGCCCAGTGAGAGGCTGAATCCTCCAGGCAAGTCGTCGTCAACCCCCCCCTGCTCCTATTGTCGAGCATCTGATGATCGGGTAACGTCGTGCCCGAAATTATTAGGTAAGCCGGTTTCGGCGAGGCGAACTATCGCCAAGGAGCGCCGCTGGTGCTGTTCATGTTTGGAAGGGCACCTCCAGCGAGACTGTCCGCATTGGCGGCCCTGTCTGCATTGCCAGGGCAATCATCATGCAGTTTTGTGCCTGGGTGCGAACGGCGTCTCCTCTCGGGACTCTGCCGGGCCCTCGACCCCCACGGGCGGGGGCGCTCGGCCGCGCCCTCTGCCGGGCGACAATTGGCGCCCGCCGGCCAGCCACCAGGCCCCTAAGTTTGAAAGGGGCCCCTCCCCCGACCGGTCGGGGGGTGATTCCCCCAGGGGCGGGGGTGTCATCACCCCCCCTCAGCGTGTGGAGAGGAACTTCACGGCCACTCATCGGTCCGCTGGACCCTTCTCACTCCCGTTAGCTGAGTGGCCGCGACTGGTGTACCACTGTTCCCCATTTGATGGAGGCGGCCCTGGCTAGCTGCCGCCTTGGCTCCCACCGCGGCCACCTCCACTGAGCCTTAAGCCGTCAACAGTCCACTTGTCAAAATGTTCTGTTGCCGACGGCCTCAGTGAAGGCGTACAACCCGAGTGGCGACTGTTAGCGGTTGTGCTCTATTGATTTCGGGTTCACGCCATGTGGCCTCCCCTTGGTGGTGGGAAGATTAGGGCCCCTTTGGAGCGTTAAATCACGCTGTCAAGGGGTATTAGATTTGGTTTGGTCGAGCTAAGTGCTCGACCAAACCAAATCTAAGTAAGTCAAAAAATACTTGAATTAAAATTAAAAATTGCTTTGGGCTTTCCGCGAAATTTTCCTATTTGTAGCGGTTTAAATTAAAAGAATTGAATTTAATCTACTCCTTTAAATGCTACTGCATGTGTTTTGTACATATATTTAATCACTGTATTTGATTGTTGCGTCTGTTTGCTGAAAGGAAATTGAATGGCGCGCTATTTGAAAAATCATGTAACATATACATAGATAGTGTTTAATCATTTTGCTTTGCGAAGAAGTAGGGCTGTCCCTTACGTTATTGTTTTGTTTAATTTGCAAGTTGACCTATGCGCATCGGTGATTAATTTGGTTGAATTAATTATGTAGTTGAACATAGATGCTTTTGAAAAATTAGTTGAAATATGAGCATAGGACTACTTGCCTAACAGGCTAGCTAGTTTTGGAGATTATCAGATTGAAATTAGCTGCCGCACTATTTTAGTAAATGATAATATGGTGGCTGGCCTGGCTAGGCCTACTTGTTGAAAATTCATACTAGGGACTATCTGTGCGTTTCGTTCGGCTCTCCACAGACGACGTTCATGTGGAATTTGTGGGTGCTCTGTGCACTGAAGCTTAGGAGGCCGCTCGGGGCCGCTTCGTGTCGCGTCGCTGTTTGCAGAGCTGATCCGGTCGGATTGCGGAACTAATCATAGGGGCACAGATAGGTGTTTGAAAGAGGTCGTCGGACTTCTGTCCAGTACATGACTTGTTAAAGTGCTGCGATGCCCAGGAGGGTCATCCAGTGGAGGCTGACCCTCTGGCTTGCCACATTAGGGCTATTTTTTGAGGCGCTGCTTAGGGTTGCAAGATCTGATGGGGTGCCTAAGGTGGCCTAGTTTGGTTGTAGATTCGGTCTTGCAACTTGCCTTCGCGACCTTGTCCCGCTGACCGGTTTGCTCGCGGACCTAAATCCTTATGTCCGGGACGGGGGTTTGTTCGCGCAAAACACTTTCAAGGATTGACGCGAGAGGGCGCTCGGCGCGGTGCATTCATACCGGTTTGACTTTCGGTCGTGCGAAAAACGCCCAAGGGCAGTCAGTCGTCCTTAGGCAGTGCTCACGGTTGGCACGCTGCCAATTAAGCGCGGGAACTCGGAATAATTAAGCGCGGACAGTAAAAATACGGTCTAGGAATTTTGTGGCGCGTATCCCTACTGGAGAGCTTCCCCGGGACTTATTGGGTCCGACTCAGAATCTGTATAAGTGCATTCGACAATATTAGCTAGTGCGGCCTCTGTATTCTAGAACTAACTGTTGCAACGCGAAACGGTAGTGACCTTTGATCCCGAAACTCCGTGCGTGTTTTGTGCGGTAACCTAATACCCCGCGATAGTTAGTGGCTCCTGTAAGCTAGTAAATCGTACGATAGAGTTAAGTGACTGTCATCGTGACGAGAGAAGAAAGTGACTGTGGTCCGGCGCCGAAGCAGTCTGAAGCAGTGTGGCAGCATTTTGAAGCAGCCTGGAACTCAGCAGCAGCTGGTCGCCTATGCTTGACAAGGCCCCACACATTCACCCCTCACTGTACACTACTCTCCATCCACTATTACACACACTCACGGCCTGCCCAAGCCTTTGTGCGAAGTTAGCTTCGGATAATGGTAAGTACTATGTGCTTCTAACGTCCTCCCATCTGGTTTATTGTAATTAGGAATTTCCACGTGGCCACATTGAAGCCCGACCTACGTTTGCTCGGGAAGTCTTCTGCTCATGGGCCCCAGAGGATTGGATCCTTTAAGGGAGCAGCCGTAGGCCGTAACAGTTATCATATCTTGTAATCTAACGGATTCAAATCTGGACTGGAGGAGGGCCAGTCTTCGTGCCGGATGAAGTCGATTTCACGCGCCGCCAGCCAGTCTTGTGTACTCTTCGCTCTATGAGCTGGCGTCGAATCTTGTTGGAATACCCAGTGTTATTGAACATGGTATGAGAAACAGGTTCAACAAGGTTCGTCAGGACTGTATTTTGATACACAACTGCATTCGTTTTTACACCTTTCTCACAAAAATGTACCTCTGTTAAGCCCCAATAAGAAACTCCCAACCATACCATGAGCGAGGATGGAAAATGACCTCGTTGAACACGCGGAATACGGTTGCTTGCTTCTTCACTACTGTGTGCGTACACCTTATCATTTTGTTTGTTGTAGCTCTCTTCTACGATAAAAATTTTTTCGTCCGAAAAAAGAATTTCCCGATATTTTTTCCCGCGTACCGCTTCAACAAAGCGCGGCATCTCTTCAGTCTCAGGTCCATTAGACGACCATTCAAACGATGTCCTGTTTTTCTTCGATATGCCCGAAGCCCTAAGTCTTCATTTAACACCCTTTTCACTGTGGTTCTGCTTAACCCCATCTGAAGGGCCAACAGTTTCTGCTTACGTTTGGGATTTCTTTGAATTCGCGCCTTCACATCTTTTATCACTGCTGGAGTCCTAACAGACCGAGGGCGATCACTTCTTGACCTGTCATGTACACTAGAGTCTTCATTGTATCGTTTGATGGTACGATAAACGAATCTGTAACGAATAAACGACGAAAACGATAAAAAATCAATTAAGATGGAAAGTGTCAATAAAATTAGATAGCACACATTAGCATAATCAATAATGGAAAGAATGAGGAAATTAACCAACATAAGCTTAGTTTTTAAGGGAAGAAACTTTTCAGATGATACAGGCAACGCAGGGCAGTAGCAACTTTACGTCTTATTTCAAAAATTAGCAATCACCAGCTTATTGTTCGAGCTATATGCAAGCCGAGATTGATTCATTGAAAGAGATCGATATCCCATTACATTACAATTATTACAATCACAAAAGGGAAAGCCACAGGTTCAAGGTATCTTTAGTTAATCTTAGTCAGCATCCTTTTAAGATACGATAAGATATTTTATTTACTAAAACATGTGTGAGATATACATTGCACGGGCAGAGATATATTCTTAGTGTTAGTGTTATTAGTATCCTTGTTTATGCCCAAATTTGGTCATGTTTAATGCCAACCAATTGCGTTCGAGCTGGCGCCTCACCCGATGGTATGTAGGTGAGATAAGCGCCGAGGTGGGGCGACCGAGCTCGACGCGTGGGCAGTCGCTCGCTCGATGCGTGGGCAAAACGTCAGTGCCCCGCCAGCCACGAGGCGGAGAGACCGTCAGGCTCAAAATTCACGGCCCGTCGTGGATCTAGATAGCTAGATGAAGTACGTGCTTCTTCGTCACGTAGATATGTGAATTGTGCGATATTTAACTCGGGCTAGAGTGCGGAATAGAGTACGCGCGTCTAGTAGATATACGGTCTAGAATTCGAGCCGCGCATTCCTGGGTTGAGAGCTTCTCCCGGTTAATTGTCAAAATATCATTATAATTGTGTCGTCGAGTTCAGTGCCCCTTTTGGGTTTTGGTTGGCTAATTAGATTAATTCGCGTGTCAACGAGGCGTATTTTGAATCTTGCGCGACGTGTTGTTCTGGTGTCGAATGAAGGAACTTAGTTGTGTTTAACGCTGAATCTGTCGGGTATCACGTGTTCGATTCTACGATGAATATGGAATTAGGCGAATTTAAGTTAGTTAAATGTACAATGAAACTAAGAGACTGAATTAGTGACAATGGAGAAAGAAATGGTCCAGCGATCGAGCCTACTGGAGCGATGCAGCATTTAGGGGCAGCCTAGAACTCGGCCGCTGCTGGTCGCCTAAGCTTGCTCAGGTCGCAGACATTTACACCTCACTGTACACTACTCGCCATCCACTATTACACACACTCACGGCCTGCCCAAGCCTTGGTGCGAAGTTAGCTTCGGATAATGGTAAGTACTATGTGTTTCTAGTTTTCTCCCATATAGTTTATTGTGAAAGAACATATTCCACGTGGCCATATTGAGGCCCGACCTACGTCTGCCCGTCGAAGAAGCTGCTATGGGCCCCAGCCAGGACGACCTTTGCAAGGGCAGCTGTAGGCCGTAACAATCCTTGAACCACCTACAATCATCACTTTGTATTTCAACGGATTTACCGAGATATGAGGGTGACACTGAAAGTTCTTAGAAAACCAAAAACTGAACAAACTATACTAGAATTATTTTGTCCGTGCAGTTTGGGTCATAAATCATCGGAGTACTTCGCTCTCTCTCGCACTCATGGGCCTTAGGGGCGTGCATATCACTATGCTGCGCATTATTGTTGTCGATAAGCGTTATCGATAGTGTATTTAATTTTGTCATTATGTGGGTTAATAGATAAAACAACGTATTTATTAAAATAAGAATAATAATGATTTAAAATAAATTATTTATTAAATTATATATTAAAAACCTATAAGTACAAATGTTTGGAATGTAACAAGTTATGCTAAAAGTAAATATAAAGATAATAACTTATATCTAAAATTAAATCTAAAACTATTTACATTACAATTCTACATCAGAATCATTAGAGTCATCGTCAACCACATGAATTACGATAACTTATACCAGATGAGATTTCTTCAAGTCTTCCTTTTGGAGTTTTTCTGCATGGTTCACACAATCTTCCCAGTTCTTTTGCGAAACGTTTGAAATTGCTCCATGCAGTAACACTTCGACGTCACAATTTTAAAAGTGCTGTTTTTGGTGGCAACTTCATTTTTTACTTGAGCCCATACCAACTCAATTGGGTTATATTGGCAATGGTAAGGTGGTAAGCGAATCACTTCGTGTCCTGACTCCAAAGCTAACTGATCCAATTTGTATATTTTTTTTTGGTCGGTTCCGGTGCACCTGTAAATACCTAGTCAGGTCATAAGTATTGTCACACAGTAAAAACTTTTCTTTTAGAATGCTGGCCATAAAAAAGTTTATTGAATTCGAATTTCGAATTGTTCATGAAAATAAAACTGTATACTTTTTAGAATTTTACTCATTTTTAAATATGGAGTGGACGCTTAAAAAGACCGTGTTGCAATCATTGCGTTGCATCGTTGCGGTTACGCGCCAATTCAAATTTTTGACACACTGAAAAATTTGAATATAACCAAAAGATTCGTTTATCGTACCATCAAACGATACAATGTAGACGCTAGTGTAGATGACAGGTCAAGAAGTGGTAGCCCTCGGTCTGTTAGGACTCCAGCAGTCCGCAGCAAAGAAATCCCAAACGTAAGCAGAAACTGTTGGCCCTTCAAATGGGATTAAGCAGAACCACGGTGAAAAGGGTGTTAAATGAAGACTTAGGGCTTCGGGCATATCGAAGAAAAACAGGACATCGTTTGAATGCTCGTCTAATGGACTTGAGACTGAAGAGATGGCGCGCTTTGTTGAAGCGGTACGCGGGAAAAAATATCGGGAAATTCTTTTTTCGGATGAAAAAATTTTTTTTACCGTAGAAGAGAGCTACAACAAACAAAAAGATAAGGTGTACGCACACAGTAGTGAAGAAGCGAGCAGCCGTATTCCGCGTGTCCAACGAGGTCATTTTCCATCCTCGCTCATGGTATGGTTGGGAGTTTCTTATTGGGGCTTAACAGAGGTACATTTTTGTGAGAAAGGTGTAAAAACGAATGCAGTTGTGTATCAAAATACAGTCCTGATGAACCTTGTGGAACCTGTTTCTCATACCATGTTCAATAACAGGCACTGCGTATTCCAACAAGATTCGGCGCCAGCTCATAGAGCGAAGAGCACACAAGACAGGCTGGCGGCGCGTGAAATCGACTTCATCCGGCACGAAGACTGACCCTCCTCCAGTCCAGATTTGAATCCGTTAGATTACAAGATATGGTAACACTTGGAGGAAAAGGCGTGCTCAAAGCCTCATCCCGATTTGGAGTTTAAGCAAGACATCCTTGATTAAGGCAGCCGCCGATATTGACAGGGACCTCGTTCGTGCTGCGATAGACGACTGGCCGCGCAGATTGAAGGCCTGTATTCAAAATCACGGAGGTCATTTTGAATAAACTTTAGTGTCATAAGAATCTATGTTTTGTTAAGTTCATTTTGGTATATAAATGGTTACATAATGAATAAACTTGTTTTTAAATAAAACTAATTTTACGGATTTTATCGCGTATATTAACTTATTTTTATATTCCCGACGTTTCGGGTGCTTTCCAGCACCCGTGGTCACGGGGGACTGAGGTGTTTGACGTCCTGCTGTCATAGTTAGCCCGGCTACCTTCAGTTTTTGAATATTATTTTTTGGTTCGATTTACGCAGAATGAGCTTACAGTATCTTGAAGTCTAGCAGTGGTATACTTGGGTGTGGATTTGATTTTATTAATTATGGGATCCCAAGCAGATGGCAGCACCCATCCATCTTCTCTATTCTTGTTCCTGCATCTTGTAGAGGGCTATGACACTTGACGGATGGATGGAGGACTTTGAGGAGAAAGCCCTTCTTACTGCTCCTGCAAATCCAAGATTCTACAAGCGGTACGTAGACGATACTTTCACAATTTTACCATATGACAAAGTAACTGCATTTTGAAACTACCTTAATTCAATAAACCCTAAAATACAATTCACAATTGAGTTAGAGGCAAACAATACTTTAGCTTTCCTAGATGTTTTAGTCATCCGAAATCCTAATAACACTATTGGTCATACTGTGTACAGAAAAAATACCCTTACCAACCGATATTTAAATGGTGAATCTCACTATCATCCTTCACAGTTAGCTACCGTGGGATAATCTTTGTTTCAGAGAGCACGAGGGATCTGTGACAGAAAACATCTGGCCGCCGAGCTTCAGCATGTCGAGCAAGTACAGCAAGACAACAAGCTTCGGGTCCCGCGCCTACGTCACAGTGACCGAGTGAAGCCAGCCACAGTCGAGCGTGTGCCTGCTGTACTACCCTATGTCAGAGGAGTCACAGACAAGGTTGGCTACATCTTGAAGCGAGCTTCCATTAAAACATACTTCAAGCCGCTGAAGAAGATTGGTCAATTTTTACCATCCGTCAAGTGTCATATCCCTCTACAAGATGCAGGAGTGTACAAGCTGGATTGTGAATGTGGCCTCTCGTACATAGGACAAACAAAGAGATCTATTAAAACCCGCGTTAAAAACATATAGCTGACGTGAAGCACCGACGTATCGGGAAGTCTGCAGTTTGTGAACATATTCAAGATCGTCCCCACCATTACATTAGATTTGATAGACCACAAATCCGATTCCGAAACACCGATTCCTCCCAAGGATGATTCGCGAGGCTATTGCAATTAAAAAACATCCTAATTTCAATAGAGAAGATGGATGGGTGCTGCCATCTGCTTGGGATCCCATAATTAATAAAATCAAATCCAAACCCAAATATACCACTGCTAGTCTTCAAGATACTGTAAGGTCATTCTGCGTAAATCGAACCAAAAATTAATATTAAAAAACTGAAGGTAGCTGGGCTAACTATAACAGCAGGACGTCAAACACCTTAGTCCCCCGTGACCACGGGTGCTGGAAAGCACCCGAAACGTCGGGAATATAAAAATAAGTTAATATACGCGATAAAATCCGTAAAATTAGTTTTATTTAAAAATGTGTAGTGTTCGCGTAAATATAAGAAATCATTAAATAAACTTGTTTCAATTATTTTATATTAAACATGTGACAGAATTTATAACCTGACTAGGTATAGTGTTGTTTGTATATTCAACTAAACACTTAAAAGAAAACAAATGTATTGTAAACTTTAAATAATAAAATCTAAAACAGCTTTTGTAATAGTTCCGGCTAGAGCTCACTATCACTAAACTCAATCCCGTGTTGGCGGAGACACTCCTGAATCACTCTTTTTGTTAGCTGATTTCGGTGCCCGATTTATTTGCTGGGAGTGGTAGGGTGCGTTGTCCATTATGATGACTGATGGTTGTTCAAAACTCTGCAGCAGTTTTGTAAACCAGTCTGTGAAGCCTTCGGCATTCATTTCTGAATGGTAGTCTTCGTTCTGAGACTTCGCAGCACGGAATACCCATCTGGCTTCGGGTATAAAACCATATTTTGCGCAGCCTGCATGACAAACTGAAATAACACAATTAAATGAATATCATTTTTTGTATTAAATTTTTATTAAGTCGTATTTCTTACATAAAAGATGAAAGAATATTTACCAATTAGTAGTAGTTTTCTCAGGAATTGTAGCCGCGCACAAATGATTTCAGTCCTTTCCATCAATTATTTACGACCATGTAGAGCTTGTACAAGTACACTTGTACCCAAGTTCTATGAATATTTTACGCATAGAAGAAATAGAACACTGGAATCCGTCAATTCTTTCTTTTGCTATACTCAAAATTTTAACCGTGGAAGGATATTCACCGTCGCGATAAAACGATGACACTATTTGTTTAATTACACTTTTGTCAAAGTCGTCTAACGCAGTTACTGTACAAGGCCGATAGACACTTTCTCGCGGAGAGCTAACTTCTCCCTTTATACACTCTTTTTTTAAGTTTGTCAACCGCTCTAACACTCACACCACATATCGCCGCAGCAAGTTTACGAGAACGGCAGAAATTAACACTTTGTAACTTTTCGGGATCTATTTTCATTTCAGTGAAAATGTTGAAATATTGTTGATAACAACACGTGCTTGGTGCCAACAGGCAAAATATTATTTTGAATAAATTCTGCCGTTTTGGTACAAAACAAAGGAGTAGCCATTGTTTCACTAAAGAAATTCAGACAGCGAATGCGCAAAAACAAATTTCTCTTCGATATATGTACTAAATTATCATTGAACTAATTTGCAGGTATTAGGCGGGGTAATAATGGAAAACAAATGACTCATATAACAGTGTCGCACCAACCTTTGTATACCGCACCGCCGACGTGTACCTGCCTTCGATGATTTATTTGTTGTTATCGATAATGGCGTTGCGCCCACGCAACATGCTCACTGCCCTAGCCGGGCTGAGGCCGAGCTATGATTATGACCCCAACTGCACGAACAAAATAATTTTACTATAGCAAGTTATTAGTTTTATTATATCTTTTCAAAATAGTGTCCATTTACATCAATATATCGCTGCATCCGATAGAACCACTGAGAAAAGTACTTTACACACTCGTCCTTAGGGGTCTCTTCGACGGCATTTTGAAATGCAGCCATTGCTTATTCGGCATCCATAAAAAGTTTTCCTCGAAGTTTTTCTTTTATTTTCGGAAATAAATAAAAATTTTAGGTGCGAGGTTGAGGCTATAGAGCGGATGACCCAGTAATTCCACGTCTCACGTCGCCAAGTAGTCGATTGTTTGCTTGGCGGTGTGCGACGAGGCGTTGTCGTGGTGAAGGAGGATCCTACTGCGAGGTCGTATCTCCCGAAATGTTTCCAAAACAAGTGCCAAGCAATTTTTAGTGTACCACTCTACAGTAACTGTTTTTCGATCCTCTAAAACAATTGTTACGTAATGACCTGTCCTTGCGAAGAACGAGGTGACCATCTTTTTTCCCACGCTTCGTCTTTTTTTCGCTTTAGTTCGCAACTCCTCGGAAGGAAACACCCAGACAGCAGACTGTCTCTTAGTTTCAGAATCATAACAATAAATCCAGCTTCCGTCACCCGTAAGTATGTCAAACACAGCATTTGAATCACCTCCG